AGGAGAGGTGTTTGAGCCGTGAGTGTGTGTTTGAGAGGAGGTGTTTGAGCCGTGAGTGTGTGTTTGAGAGGAGAGGTGTTTGAGAGGAGAGGTGTTTGAGAGGAGGTGTTTGAGCCGTGAGTGTGTGTTTGAGAGGAGGTGTTTGAGCCGTGAGTGTGTGTTTGAGAGGAGAGGTGTTTGAGCTGTGTGTGTGTTTGAGAGGAGGTGTTTGAGCTGTGAGAGTGTGTTTGAGAGGAGAGGTGTTTGAGCTGTGAGAGTGTGTTTGAGAGGAGAGGTGTTTGAGCCGTGAGTGTGTGTTTGAGAGGAGGTGTTTGAGAGGAGAGGTGTTTGAGAGGAGAGGTGTTTGAGAGGAGAGGTGTTTGAGCTGTGTGTGTGTTTGAGAGGAGGTGTTTGAGCTGTGAGAGTGTGTTTGAGAGGAGAGGTGTTTGAGCTGTGAGAGTGTGTTTGAGAGGAGAGGTGTTTGAGCTGTGTGTGTGTTTGAGAGGAGGTGTTTGAACTGTGAGAGTGTGTTTGAGAGGAGAGGTGTTTGAGCTGTGAGAGTGTGTTTGAGAGGAGAGGTGTTTGAGCTGTGAGAGTGTGTTTGAGAGGAGAGGTGTTTGAGCTGTGTGTGTGTTTGAGAGGAGAGGTGTTTGAGCTGTGAGTGTGTGTTTGAGAGGAGAGGTGTTTGAGCTGTGAGTGTGTTTGAGAGGAGAGGTGTTTGAGAGGAGAGGTGTTTGAGCTGTGAGAGTGTGTTTGAGAGGAGAGGTGTTTGAGCTGTGAGAGTGTGTTTGAGAGGAGGTGTTTGAGCTGTGAGTGTGTGTTTGAGAGGAGAGGTGTTTGAGCTGTGAGAGTGTGTTTGAGAGGAGAGGTGTTTGAGCTGTGAGAGTGTGTTTGAGAGGAGAGGTGTTTGAGCTGTGTGTGTGTTTGAGAGGAGAGGTGTTTGAGCTGTGAGTGTGTGTTTGAGAGGAGAGGTGTTTGAGCTGTGAGTGTGTGTTTGAGAGGAGAGGTGTTTGAGAGGAGAGGTGTTTGAGCTGTGTGTGTGTTTGAGAGGAGGTGTTTGAGCTGTGTGTGTGTGTGTTTGAGAGGAGAGGTGTTTGAGCCGTGAGTGTGTGTTTGAGAGGAGAGGTGTTTGAGCTGTGAGTGTGTGTTTGAGAGGAGAGGTGTTTGAGCTGTGAGTGTGTGTTTGAGAGGAGAGGTGTTTGAGCTGTGTGTGTGTGTGTGTTTGAGAGGAGAGGTGTTTGAGCCGTGAGTGTGTGTTTGAGAGGAGGTGTTTGAGCCGTGAGAGTGTGATTGAGAGGAGAGGTGTTTGAGCTGTGAGAGTGTGTTTGAGAGGAGAGGTGTTTGAGCTGTGAGAGTGTGATTGAGAGGAGAGGTGTTTGAACTGTGAGAGTGTGTTTGAGAGGAGGTGTTTGAGCCGTGAGAGTGTGATTGAGAGGAGAGGTGTTTGAGCCGTGAGTGTGTGATTGAGAGGAGAGGTGTTTGAGCTGTGAGTGTGTGTTTGAGAGGAGAGGTGTTTGAGCTGTGAGAGTGTGTTTGAGAGGAGGTGTTTGAGCCGTGAGTGTGTGATTGAGAGGAGAGGTGTTTGAGAGGAGAGGTGTTTGAGAGGAGGTGTTTGAGCCGTGAGTGTGTGTTTGAGAGGAGAGGTGTTTGAGAGGAGAGGTGTTTGAGCTGTGAGAGTGTGTTTGAGAGGAGAGGTGTTTGAGAGGAGAGGTGTTTGAGAGGAGAGGTGTTTGAGAGGAGAGGTGTTTGAGCTGTGAGAGTGTGTTTGAGAGGAGGTGTTTGAGCCGTGAGTGTGTGTTTGAGAGGAGAGGTGTTTGAGAGGAGAGGTGTTTGAGCTGTGAGAGTGTGTTTGAGAGGAGAGGTGTTTGAGAGGAGAGGTGTTTGAGCCGTGAGAGTGTGTTTGAGAGGAGAGGTGTTTGAGCTGTGAGAGTGTGTTTGAGAGGAGAGGTGTTTGAGCCGTGAGAGTGTGTTTGAGAGGAGAGGTGTTTGAGCTGTGAGAGTGTGTTTGAGAGGAGAGGTGTTTGAGAGGAGAGGTGTTTGAGAGGAGAGGTGTTTGAGAGGAGAGGTGTTTGAGCTGTGAGAGTGTGTTTGAGAGGAGAGGTGTTTGAGAGGAGAGGTGTTTGAGAGGAGAGGTGTTTGAGAGGAGAGGTGTTTGAGAGGAGAGGTGTTTGAGAGGAGAGGTGTTTGAGAGGAGAGGTGTTTGAGCTGTGAGAGTGTGTTTGAGAGGAGAGGTGTTTGAGCTGTGAGAGTGTGTTTGAGAGGAGGTGTTTGAGCTGTGAGAGTGTGTTTGAGAGGAGGTGTTTGAGCTGTGAGAGTGTGTTTGAGAGGAGAGGTGTTTGAGCCGTGAGTGTGTGTTTGAGAGGAGGTGTTTGAGCTGTGAGAGTGTGTTTGAGAGGAGAGGTGTTTGAGCCGTGAGAGTGTGTTTGAGAGGAGAGGTGTTTGAGCCGTGAGAGTGTGTTTGAGAGGAGAGGTGTTTGAGAGGAGAGGTGTTTGAGCCGTGAGTGTGTGTTTGAGAGGAGAGGTGTTTGAGCTGTGAGAGTGTGTTTGAGAGGAGAGGTGTTTGAGCTGTGAGAGTGTGTTTGAGAGGAGAGGTGTTTGAGCCGTGAGTGTGTGTTTGAGAGGAGAGGTGTTTGAGCCGTGAGTGTGTGTTTGAGAGGAGAGGTGTTTGAGCTGTGAGTGTGTGTTTGAGAGGAGAGGTGTTTGAGCTGTGAGAGTGTGTTTGAGAGGAGGTGTTTGAGCTGTGAGAGTGTGTTTGAGAGGAGGTGTTTGAGCTGTGAGAGTGTGTTTGAGAGGAGAGGTGTTTGAGAGGAGAGGTGTTTGAGAGGAGAGGTGTTTGAGCTGTGAGAGTGTGTTTGAGAGGAGGTGTTTGAGAGGAGGTGTTTGAGCCGTGAGAGTGTGTTTGAGAGGAGAGGTGTTTGAGCCGTGAGTGTGTGTTTGAGAGGAGAGGTGTTTGAGCTGTGAGAGTGTGTTTGAGAGGAGAGGTGTTTGAGCTGTGAGAGTGTGTTTGAGAGGAGGTGTTTGAGCTGTGAGAGTGTGTTTGAGAGGAGAGGTGTTTGAGCTGTGAGAGTGTGTTTGAGAGGAGAGGTGTTTGAGCCGTGAGTGTGTGTTTGAGAGGAGAGGTGTTTGAGCTGTGAGAGTGTGTTTGAGAGGAGAGGTGTTTGAGCCGTGAGAGTGTGTTTGAGAGGAGAGGTGTTTGAGCCGTGAGTGTGTGTTTGAGAGGAGAGGTGTTTGAGCTGTGAGAGTGTGTTTGAGAGGAGAGGTGTTTGAGCCGTGAGAGTGTGTTTGAGCTGTAAGAGTGTGTTTGAGAGGAGAGGTGTTTGAGCCGTGAGTGTGTGTTTGAGAGGAGAGGTGTTTGAGCCGTGAGAGTGTGTTTGAGAGGAGAGGTGTTTGAGCCGTGAGTGTGTGTTTGAGAGGAGAGGTGTTTGAGAGGAGAGGTGTTTGAGCCGTGAGTGTGTGTTTGAGAGGAGAGGTGTTTGAGCCGTGAGTGTGTGTTTGAGAGGAGAGGTGTTTGAGAGGAGAGGTGTTTGAGCCGTGAGTGTGTGTTTGAGAGGAGAGGTGTTTGAGCCGTGAGTGTGTGTTTGAGAGGAGAGGTGTTTGAGCCGTGAGAGTGTGTTTGAGAGGAGAGGTGTTTGAGCCGTGAGTGTGTGTTTGAGAGGAGAGGTGTTTGAGCTGTGAGAGTGTGTTTGAGAGGAGAGGTGTTTGAGCCGTGAGAGTGTGTTTGAGCTGTAAGAGTGTGTTTGAGAGGAGAGGTGTTTGAGCCGTGAGAGTGTGTTTGAGCTGTAAGAGTGTGTTTGAGAGGAGAGGTGTTTGAGCTGTGAGAGTGTGATTGAGCCGTGAGAGTGTGTTTGAGCCGTGAGAGTGTGTTTGAGAGGAGAGGTGTTTGAGCTGTGAGAGTGTGTTTGAGCCGTGAGAGTGTGTTTGAGAGGAGAGGTGTTTGAGCCGTGAGAGTGTGTTTGAGAGGAGAGGTGTTTGAGCCGTGAGAGTGTGTTTGAGAGGAGAGGTGTTTGAGCTGTGAGTGTGTGTTTGAGAGGAGAGGTGTTTGAGCCGTGAGAGTGTGTTTGAGCCGTGAGAGTGTGTTTGAGCTGTGAGAGTGTGTTTGAGAGGAGAGGTGTTTGAGCCGTGAGAGTGTGTTTGAGCCGTGAGAGTGTGTTTGAGCTGTGAGAGTGTGTTTGAGAGGAGAGGTGTTTGAGCTGTGAGAGTGTGTTTGAGAGGAGAGGTGTTTGAGCCGTGAGAGTGTGTTTGAGCCGTGAGAGTGTGTTTGAGCTGTGAGAGTGTGTTTGAGAGGAGAGGTGTTTGAGCTGTGAGAGTGTGATTGAGCCGTGAGAGTGTGTTTGAGCTGTAAGAGTGTGTTTGAGAGGAGAGGTGTTTGAGCCGTGAGAGTGTGTTTGAGCCGTGAGAGTGTGTTTGAGCCGTGAGAGTGTGTTTGAGCTGTAAGAGTGTGTTTGAGAGGAGAGGTGTTTGAGCCGTGAGAGTGTGTTTGAGCCGTGAGAGTGTGTTTGAGCCGTGAGAGTGTGTTTGAGCCGTGAGAGTGTGTTTGAGCTGTGAGAGTGTGTTTGAGCCGTGAGAGTGTGTTTGAGAGGAGAGGTGTTTGAGCCGTGAGAGTGTGTTTGAGCCGTGAGAGTGTGTTTGAGCTGTGAGAGTGTGTTTGAGAGGAGAGGTGTTTGAGCTGTGAGAGTGTGTTTGAGAGGAGAGGTGTTTGAGCTGTGAGAGTGTGTTTGAGAGGAGAGGTGTTTGAGCTGTGAGAGTGTGTTTGAGCTGTGAGAGTGTGTTTGAGAGGAGAGGTGTTTGAGCTGTGAGTGTGTGTTTGAGAGGAGAGGTGTTTGAGCCGTGAGAGTGTGTTTGAGCCGTGAGAGTGTGTTTGAGCTGTGAGAGTGTGTTTGAGAGGAGAGGTGTTTGAGCCGTGAGAGTGTGTTTGAGCCGTGAGAGTGTGTTTGAGCTGTGAGAGTGTGTTTGAGAGGAGAGGTGTTTGAGCTGTGAGAGTGTGTTTGAGAGGAGAGGTGTTTGAGCCGTGAGACTCTCACCTGTCCGGCGTCCAGGTAATGCGTGACCTGCAGCACGAGGAAGAAGACTCGCAGAGACTCCTTCTGGATGGGGTTTCCCTGCCACGTCTCCACGATCTGCCCACACAGCGTCAGGAGCGGGTGCACCTCCTGCAGCTTACGCTCCATGAGCAGCAGCTACACACACACACGAGAACACAAGCCTTCACAGGTCACATGACACACACAACCACTGATGAGGCTCAACAAAACTGAAAATAACCGATCGATCGATTAGGGCTGGACAAAAAAAAATATTTTTCGCTGAATCGCTTTTTAAAATGTGGTCGATTCAAATTCAATTCTCAAAGGCCACAAATCGATTTTTTTCCATATTTATTTATGTAAATATTTTATGCCTTCATTTGATTGCCAGAAAAATTTAAATATACAAAACACTGTATTCACAACATACACACACACAGAGAGAGATACTCACCATGCCTTTGCTCAGCAGGAAGAGCGCTCTGTGGAAATGCAGAGTTTAGTCATTACACACATGACAGAGAAATGAAAGTGTGTGTGTGTGAACAGCATGAGATGCAGTGAGAGTCACCTGGTGTACTCCGATCCCACGACTCTGGCGTATTCGGCGCCGACGCCCAGCAGATCGCAGGCCGACACCAGATCCTTCTCCAGCGTGTGCAGTTGCTGTGGGAACACACACACACCGCTCAGACGTGGCTCACACACACGTTCCCATTTATTGACTGACAGCTGTCTTGTCCTCGTGTTGAGATAAATCAAAGTGCAGAGGCGTTGTGTGTGTGTGGGAGTGTGTGTGTGTGTGTGAGTGAGTGTGAGTGATTGAGTGTGTGTGTACCGCGAGCTGGAACAGGAGTCTGCAGTGCCAGTACGGTGTCTGCTGAGAGGTTAATGAAGAGTGTGTGAGAGAGAGACAGTGTGAGTGTGTGTGTGAGTGAGTGTGTGAGTGAGTGTGTGTGTGTGTGTGTGTGTGTGTGTGTACCGCGAGCTGGAACAGGAGTCTGCAGTGCCAGTACGGTGTCTGCTGAGAGATCTGGATGGCCTTCCGCAACAGCGGCTTCGCTGAATCCACCAGGTTCTAGTAAACAGAAGAGCAGACATCACTCCTGACACTGTGTGTGTGTGTGAGTTACATCACTCCTGACACTGTGTGTGTGTGTGAGTTACATCACCCCTGACACTGCGTTACGCATCCCGAAGTTACAGCACGTCACGCGTCAACTTCGGCTGATCCGATGCGTTTGCAATCATGCATTGACTTGACAGAGCTCTTCACAACACACACTGTGTCAAAGCAGCTTTACAGAAAATGCTCATGTGGAAAACAGTGTGTGTGAATAGACCAGAAACCAAGAAACAAAACACGGGTTGCTTTTCCCTTCATTCTGTAACCCTCGTGCGACCCCTTATGGACATGTGAGTCTTTCAGTTTAGTTTTTTTTTTTATAATTTCACCGGTGTTAATGCCAACTGCATACATTTTGGCACAAGTGTGTATTTTTATTTGGAATTTTACTATTTCACCCCCATTTCCTTTAATAAGTCTTACAGGTTTGGAATGACATGAAAGCATGTAAATGATGAGAGAAATGTAACTCCCCGGTTTTGTGTCTGAAAGCATGTTTTATTCATAACATCAGGATTATGTTTGGCACACAGAATAGAAGAGTTGATGAGGGTGAAGTCTGTGTTAAACTCACACTCACCTGTTGGCAGTAGAGCTCTGACAGAAGACTCGCCGCCTCGAACTTAACATCCTCGAACTGAGCGATCTGCACACCTGTGCTAAGGAGAACTCCAACAAAACAGGCATTATCATCATCATCATCACCGTGTGTCTTCAGCACTTACAGCAGCACAGTCTCAACACAACACTCAAGAGGGACATTTGCTTCATAATGTGGTAAAGGATACTTGCTGCGAGATAAACCACTGAAATAGAGACAGAAAGAGACATTAAACATGAATCATAAATCACATTTATTAGTGTCTATAGCAGCACCTCACAGGACAAACACAGAGCTTCTATCAAAAGATAATTATACATTATTTAAAACAATAAGATGTTAAAAACAATAGCACTTTAACGCGTTGAATCTGTTAGGGCTGAATTAACAACAACAGCAACCATAATAATACAAATAATAACAATAATGAAGCTTCCGGGACTACGGCCTTGTCGCTCGGCTGAAGCCTCGGGCTTTCCTGCGCGCTCTCACCGCTTTCTCGAGGTGCGTGCGGGCCAGCTCGCTGTTCTTCGTGTGGTGGTAGAGCACCGAGCCCAGCTGCAAGTGCGTCCGGGCCTCCACTCGCTGCGGGGGCTTGAACTGGAACACGGCCTGCAGGCAGTGCACACACAAGCGGATTTTGGGAGGGCTGGATGTTCTGAAATGTTCGGCGAACCCGAGAAGAGCCAGATACCAGGAGTCTGGGGCCTCAGCGCCAGCAGCCGCCATCATCACCACAACAACAACAACACGAGAGCTCGGGCAAACCTCGCGAGAGCGCCAACCGCGGCGAGACTTCCACGCATAGACATAATAAATACATAGACGCCCTATTGGCCGCTTTGGAACGTTGCTGAGATACGTCAACGGGTCCGCCATTTTGCGGAGGGCAAGACTGCACTGTAATCAAATGTAAGTAAACGGGGGAGCTGCGTTTTTTCTGGATAAAAACAAACTGTTTTTACATTTATCAACCGATTTCAGTGGTGTATGTGGTGTACAAAAGGTTCCATCTCTAGTTATTTAAAATCTCGATAGTTAGACTTGTAAAATATTTTTTTTTAATAAAGAATGGTCAAAGCTCAGGCTTGTCATGTATCTGGCTTTTTATTCTTGGATAAGAATGGTGAAGACCCCCATACTGAGATATAATTTAAGTTTTCTTATTGTGGAAAAAGCATTTTCTGTGATTGACCAGATTTTAGCAATAACAAAGATAACTGATGGATCCTTTATAATAATAGGTTATGGTACAACTATAGTGCAATGCAAATAGTATATATAACATAAAGTGAGAAGTAATAGTAAATAGTTTAGTCAATAAAATAAACAAATAGTATACAGCAAATAAAATAGTAATGATTAGTATAATTATATAATATCATAAGTACAATAATACAATCATAAAAATATTGATAATAGCATAGTTTATTAATAATACTATAATAATAGCAATAGAATAAGAAATCTCAATTACAGAATATACACAATAAAAAATAAGTTAAATAGTGACTTTAATATTTAACTCTTTTTGTTAAATTTCAGTTTTATTGATCAGTATAACAGAAGTAGCTTCAGTCAAACATACAGCAGGATACAACGTTAAAATAGCCTAAATATAAAGTTATGAAACTTCACTTTGCCCTCAGCCAAAACGATTTGCCAGGGAACCATTTATAGATTAATGAGACCAAAGATCGCCCGTTAGATATACACAAGACGAATTATATCTCATGTTTAACCACTAGACTACAGACATCCGAGTCAGCGGCAAAACTTCAAAAGCACTGGCCGAGGGACGGCTGTTCCAGGCGGGGTAGACGAGCGCTGAGCGTCAGAAGCACTGGCCGAGGGACGGCTGTTCCAGGCGGGGTAGACGAGCGCTGAGCGCATCTTACAACTCCGAAAACGTCAGATCAAATTTTTAAATAGGCGCTATCTTTATAAACAAACCACATATTTGAGCTTTAAACAACTACATTGTCGACTGAAAAACTATTAAAACTACATTTCGTGACACAATAACAGTAGTATTTTTAAATGTATCCTCTGAACGTTACTATTACTAATTAAATCATGACCAAATACAACCAAAAACAAACGTTCAGTCTTGCTTGTGAAAGGTAATTCCTCGAAAGCTATTTTCCATTGTGTGGCGATGTGTACAGCCCCAAACAGCGCACAAAACAGGCATTTTTCTCAATTCCCGGTATGAGAGGTATGGGAAAGTTGCCATCCCCAACATGGCGGCGCCGTTGACGTACGCTGCAGCGGCCAATAGGGCGTCTATGTATTTATTATGTCTATGCTTCCACGGCCCTACCCTGAACGAGATCTTCTCGGCTGAATCTCGCGAGAGGAGGAGCTGGCGGGACGATCTGTGTCTGTCAGGAATCATCATAATAAACGGCAAATTATGAAAGCACATTTCCGTCACATAAGAAAAAAATCATGCTTTAATGTATCATAATTATGGCATAACTAAGTCGAAGCTATGACTTAAAGTCATAAGAGAGCAGAACCCTGGGTAAATGATGACGTCCTCAAGGCCATAGATATCCATAATAAAGGATATCTATGCTTAAGCCAGGCTAAGAAATAGGAATTATGGGAAATTCAGAGAAAACAAGGATGAGCAGAGTTGGGGTGATTATAAAAAGGCAAGAAATGAAGTACAGATTAGTAGTCAATACTAAAAAAGGCATGAAAACATGGCTAAATATACACAAATGATTCAGGAAAGTTATGGAAATCCCTTAAGCTATTTATTTGGCTACAGTAAAAGGCTAAAACTATGAAACACTAATATTACTCTAGATCTTGGCGACAGCATTACATCAGAGGAGGAGATAGTGGCAGATAGCTTTAATAAAGTATTTCTCATCAGTTGTCAGGAAGCTTTTGAAAGGATCATTTTTGAACAGATTGATAATTACTTAAAATCACAAAACCTACTTTATGAGTTCCAGTCTGGCTTTCGTAAATCTCATTCTACGGGTTCCTGTTCACTGTTTCTTACTGGTTATATAAAAAAGGAGGTCGATAATGGAAACTTCTGTGGCATGGCCATGTTAGACGTGCATAAACCCTTTGATACAGTCGACCAGGACTTCTAAATGTTCGGATGTGGATGGCTGATGATAACACTTCATTTAGGGAAAACTGAATCTATATTGTTTGGAACAAAGATAAAGGTAAAGAAAGCCTCATGTTTTAAGGTCATAGCTGGAGATATTGTAATTACTGCCAAGGAATCTTGGATGTATGTTAGATTTCTATATCTGGAGTAGGTCAGCTAAGGTAATCGCCAAAGTGAAGCAGAGAGTCCGTTTATGGCCAGAATATCAACGTTTTTGGATGAAAAAACAAAGCTAACTTGGTCAGGAGCTTTAATTCAGCCTTATTTTGATTATGTGTGTGGCTCATGGTACAATGGTGACACAGGGAACCTGACACATAGGCTTCACACGTCTCAAAATAAATGGAAACGGTGTACTTTAGACCTTCCCATAAGAACTTATCTGGAATCTTCCCACTTTGCAAGGGTTGAGGATCGAGTGTCTCGGATGCAGCTGGGTATGGTACATAAGACTGTTAATGGAGATGTTCCCAAATATTTTAGAAATTATTTTAACAGAGTAAACTAAGTTCACAGGTACTCCACTAGGGGTAGCTCAGCAGATTTTGTTCCCCCAGATTGAATACTAATCTGGGCAAACGGTCTTTCCTGTATGCCCCCCTCTGGAAGCGGTTAGCTGGAAAACTCACGAGAGTTTTAAACAGGGTTAGAAAGAATGGCTTAGGTGCAAATCGGAGCCATTATCACATCATAGTCTATTTTTATGGTTAATTTTTCTGTATAATCTGGATGAATTTGTGTAATGTATGATGAATGATTGATGTGCGATTTGCTGCCGTCTGTCCTCTCCCCGCCCTAGGGACCACAATGGAAATAAGTCTTTGGGCTTTGTGTCATCCCTGACTATTTATGTATTTTTAATGTATGACAC